CCATGCCTGTAATCTAGATGTAAATTACAAACTGAGCTCTGATTTTTTAAATCAAATGTCTTTAGATCACTGCAGAAAGTAGAGGAAAGGCAGAGGGTGGGAGTGTGGTGACTGGGCTGTGCCTCGGTAATCCATTTACTTCGGCTGCACCAAGAGATGGTATCTTGGAGTCATTCAAATGTGTGTCTATTATGGCGCAGGAGGTCACACCAATCACAAAGAGGATGGGGAGGCCTCAGATAAATCTCCAAGGCTGCCAGCTCACCTCAGTAGTTTGAGGGTGCCACAACCTTCCGGGTGAACTTTCCAGCCAATTTCACAGCACTAGCACATTCAGAATTCACCTGTCTCTTGGCTGTTTATTGCTGCAGACACTCTACTTTCACTGGAAAATTCCTTTCTAAACCATTTTTGGAGCAAAAGATGAGAAGGGGAAGACACCTCCCCCCACTCCTTGGCCCATACAGATGCTGCATGATTTTGAGAAACAGAATTAACCAGAAACCAAGCTGAGCGGGGCTCAGGAGGGTTTAGGATAGGGCTACTCAGGACCACACACACCAAGTGGCAGGGTGCCACTTCCCCGAGTCTCTCCAGCAGGAGATGTTTGCCACAACTTGAGGTGGCCTGGGAGCAATGACTTATTATCATCTCTACACCAGTGCTCTTAGGGTCCGAGGGCTCTTATCTTGTCACCCAAGTCACCTCTGGATTGCCAAATTTGTACCCAATTGTTCTCTGAAACAATTCTTCTGAGCAGGTGGCTGCTGTGACAAACACACACCTCTGAGGATATTCAACCAGAAAATCCACATCCTCATAAGACAGAAACTGCGGCTGAGAGGAATAATCTATCTCTTCATCAGCTGGGAGTTGGAATGGTCCAACCCACCCTTTAGCTTGGAATCAATCTGACAAGTGCTGCAAGCCGCATTCAATGACTTCCTTGTAACTTCACTGAAGTTTGGTACACAAATTCTACATCGCGCAAAACAGCCTTTGAATAAGTCTTAAGAATCCCCAATTTAAGCCCTCTTCAGAGTAAGTTTTGATTTTTTTTGTCAAGATCACGAATACTTTAGGATAAATAACAGAATCCTGGTTTCGCTTGAATCTGGGCCCAACTTTAAGGACATCTCCCTCCCCTTACCAGCATGGGACCTCTCCTGAAAAGCTGGGGGACAGGACTGGAGATGCAGAGTGAAAACCTGTCCGACACAGGCAGACATCTTTCTGTGGCAGTTAAAGCCCAATCATTCGGGACATGCTCTACTCTGGATCTAAGAGTGGGGTCTGGGAACTGGGTTCCGGCTCAGCGGTAGAGCTCCGGTGTAGCCTGCTTATGGGCCTGGCCCCCACCCTCAGCTCTGGAAAAAAGGAAAAAGAAAGATATATTTGGAAAGCAAATTCAATCATGTTATAAGAAAATAATTTCATCTATTTAGCCTTTCCCCAAATCGTTGCCTGGAGCAGGTATGATCACTATTAAGCCAGAAAGAAGGGTTTACTGTGAGGAAAGGAACTTAAGTGGCCTCAAACCTAGAGAAAGTGCATAGACCAAGAGTCCAGGAACTCAGAGCTTCCTTGTTTTCCACCTTTTTCATCCTCAGTGTCACCAACTGATCTGAGCATAATACTTGCAAGTTTAATCTACAGCAGTGAAGTAGGGAATCAAAAATATGTTCCAAAGCTGGCCATGGTGGCACATGCCTACAATTCCAGCACTCAGGAGGCTGAGGCAGGAGGGTCATGGGGAGTTCGAGGCCAGCCTGGGCTACGAAGTGAGTTCAAGGCCAGCCTGAACTACATAGTAAGACCTTGTCTACAAACAAAAATATGTTTCAGAGGCTGAGGAAGAGGATCGCTTGAGCTCAGAAGTTCAAGGCCAGGCTGGGTAACATAGTGAGATGCCCATCTCAAAAACAGATACAGATGATGTAGTATTAAAAAATATGGGCCGGGGATTTAGCTCAGTGGTTCCACCACCTGCCTTGCAAGCAAAACGTCCCAAGTTAGATCCCCAATACCAAAAAAAAAAAAAAAAATATATATATATATATATATATAGCCTATTAAAACTGTAGAGATTGACATAAAGTGATGATGCTGAATTCTCAATCCTACAAACTTCTGATGAGGCAATAATTAAAAAGAAGATAAGAAATTTTCAGAATGATTCATATTTAGAATATGTTCAGCTGGGTGAGGTGATGCATGCCTATAATCCTGCACTTGGGAGGCTGAGGCAAGAGGATCACCTTGAGTTTGAGGCCAGCCTGGGCTACATAGTGAGACCCTGTCTCCAAAAAAAAAAAAAGAAGAGTATGTTAAAAAAAACTCCTGGGGGCCTGGGATTTATCACTGCACCTGGCTGGTAAGCACAAGGTCCTGAGTTCCATTCCCGGTACAGGGGTTGGGGGGAGACATTCCTGATCAAATGAAGTTAAGTGGGGTATGGCTCAGTGACCAAGTATTAGCCTACCTTGCATAAAACCCTAGATCCATTCTCAGCACAGCCCTCCCTCCCAATTTTTATATATATACACACATATAAAATTTGGAATGCAAACTCAAACATTTTGTAAGAAAGGTGAATGGCAGAGCTAGACAGGTGTCTTTCTAATTGTCAGTTTATTTCTTCATTTGATAAATACTGAAAGTTCATCACGAAGTTAGGCACTTGAGAAAATTCTAATTTCCTGTTCTCCCAGGATGCAGTGTCCTAAAACGTCAATGAAGCCTAGTGTGACATCAGAAAAGCCAGGCGGGTGGTGCATGCCTGTGATCTCAGCACTTGGAAGGCCAAAGGAGGAGGACTGCTGAGAGTCTGAGGCCAGCCTGGGCTACATAGTCAGACCCTGCCTCAAAAACAAAACAAAACAAAAAAGATAGAACAACGTGACCAGTGATAAGGACACAAAACATACAAAACCCCGAATTATCTTCTTCTTTCCCTCCCTCCTCTCACTTCCTTTTCAGACTGGGTTGGTTTTCCCTTTTTTTCTCCAACTATCACATTATTAATCTGTCAAATTATTACTTAAATCCATAGCAAGACGAACTCTTCACCAAGCACTGTCTTACTCTCTCCCCTGCTTAGGTGTTCCATGCCCAACAACCTTTTACCTTTTAGAATCTGCACCTTCAATTCTCAAACGCCTCTGTTTAATTGCCAACCTTTTGTGCCCAAACCTGCAACAACACCTTCATGTTGTGTTGCTAATCCTCTGCTTTCCTGTCTTTGCCTTAAAAAGTTTAAAAAACACATTTGTAATCTATATTCCTGCCAAAGAAGTGAGTCATTAGAATACTACCAGGGTAAAAAAAAAAAACTCGCTTGACTTTGAGTTTAATTAGTAATGGCCCCTAAGTAAGTACCTTGGGGACTCTTTCTGTCACTTTGATAAACCTCAGGAAAGAGGCTACATCCCTAGAACCTTGGGACAGTAGCTAGGAGTCACTGCACTTTTACCTAACTTTAAAGAGTACTTTATTTGAAAAATTCTACTTCCATTAGATTTCTCTGCTTTCTTAAATTCCTAGAGGCTGCAGATTTGTGAGCTGTCAAAATTAGCAGGCCCTGTCCTTTTCTACAGATTGAATGCTTAACTAAAAACACAAAGTAGGCCTCCCGTGTCACCTTCGGAGGTGAACTGCTGCGGAAGACCCCCCTCAGCCTCGGTTAACAAGTCAATGACATCTCCACTCGACACACGTCCCCAAGCTCCTCAGGAGGCGCAAAAGTCACCTGTGCCCGCAGGCGGCCCAATAATGTGTTTTCAAGGGTGAAAAAAAAGCCCGGTTTCTTTTATGAAAAAAAGACATAGCTACGGGAAACACGACGGGTCTGGTTGTATGGTATCTGCTTTTCCAAAAGCCGACGCTTTGAAAATATTTATAAATGCCTTTACTTTCCACCAACTACATCGGAGTCCGAAGAAAGGCGCTGGAAGGAGGGAGATAAGGGCTTAAAGCGCCAAGAAAAAGGGAGAGAAAATTGTTTGAAAACTCGGTCCTCACACAGAAGACTGAGGGCAGTAGCCAGGAGGAGGACTGGAGACCACCTTACCTTTCCCTAAGGGTGTGGCGGTGCCCGCCGCAGAGACGACCACTCACAGCCCAGCAGCAATTCGCACGGCTAGAAGGAACCTACCACATCTTCGCGGCCGCCCTCTTTTTAATGTAAAACAAAAATAAGGAGTGTCCAGCAGCTCCCCACCGCGCCCCTTAAAGCCACAGATCGCTCGGCCTGCGTTCCGGCCCCCGGGAAGCCGGGGAGCGACGGCTCCGGCTTTCCTAACCTGGGGGACCCGCGAGGAGGACAGCCCTGCCGGCCCGGCTGCTCCCTGAGCCGAGTGGGGCTCGGAGCCGTCACTCCGCCGAGCGCCGGGCAGGGCGAGCGCTCCTCGCGCCGCGCGCCTCCTGCTCCTCCCTCGCGCTGCGCCGCCCTCGCGGCCCGGCCTTTCGCGCACAGTAGCGAGGTTGTCTCTGTCTGCTCCCTTCCTTTAAACTCACCAAACCAGATTTTTACTCCCAACGCCGGCAACTTCCCGTAAGTCTGCACTGAAATTTTATCCAGCTCGCTGAGACTCCGCTGGCGAGAGGCCAGTGCAACATTCCTGTTGTTTTAGGAGCGCAGATACCTTAGCTGAAGGTTAAATAAATTTAATTTAAAAAGAAAATCGGCCTGGATGGAGCGATGTGGGGACCTCACCTCTCCTTCTCTCTCTCTCTCCTCGCTCAAAGACACATCCACTTCAGACGTCGGGGAGAGGGGCCCCAGAAGCGGCACCTGCTCCACCTGGGCACACGCGCCCGGCCCCCTTCGGGCTGTGTCCTGCCACAGACCCAGCCGGAGCCCTGCCACGGGACGCAAGGAGCCGCCGCGGATCCCGGCCGCCCCGTCCCACGCAACCTGTCCGCGTCGCGGCAAGCAGTCGCGGGGCAGGTGGGACGCGCCGAGCCCCGAGGACGAGGACGCGCGGCCGCCCGGTCCTTACCTGGGCCGCCCAGGGCCTGGCGAGCGAGCGCGGGAGGCGGTCACGCGGCCCGGCCCTGACCTCCGCGGGGCCTTCACAGCGGGGCCTGGGGCCTGGGCGCCGCTCCTTCAAAGTGGCTCATTTGAATGCGCTCTGACCCGGTGTTACAGCTGGTTTCTAGAAAGGGAACAAAAACGCTGCAGTTCGCGACTGCAGCCCAGCCCTCTTCGAGCCCTGCCAGGTCTCAGGGGAGTTGACTGCAACTCCGACCCCAGCCCCACGCCCACGAAACCCAGCCCACCCTTGGTTTACCTGTTTACCCGGGAGCTGAGGAGCTCCCGCATTGCAGTGGCGCGCTGAGCCTGCTGGCAGCGCCGAGCGGCCCACAGGAATCAAGTCAGTGACTAAACAAACTAGAAGAGGAAGCGGGCACCACCAGGAACCTATACCCGAGTTGTGATTTCGGATTGCAGTGTCATTCAACTGAGGAAAAGAAGAGAAAAGAAAAGAAAAAATACTGTTTCTCATTTGGGCTACTTCAGTGAAGAAATGCTCCAAAAAAAATATTTTTTTTTCTGGTTAAATGACCTGGCACATAGGGTTAGCTGCCATTGTTGCTATTTTTATTTTTTATGTGATGGCTTGTTTTTCTTTACAAGAGAGGCAAAGTCAGACGTAGAAGTGGGCTCCAGACCCAGTGCTCCACTCACCAGCTGTAAAGCCCTCAGTTCCCACATCTGTTTCTGGAAGATTCTATGGATGGGAGTTGTGCAAAGTTTTACACCCCTTTGAACAGCCTCGAATACACTGGAAAATAATGTCTTTGCAAAAGGGTGTACAACTGACTTTCATCTCACTTAAAAGTTACCAAGAGTGACAACCAACATGGAGATAAATTTGCTCTACATTCCATGAAGTTTACTAACAGGAAGAGAAGTCAGGATCTTCTGTGTGTGCTTAATTCTAATTTGGATTTAGGCGTTTGACCTCTTATCTATCCCTGGCAGTTACTTATCCTATTCCATTAGAAACCAATGCTGAGCAAATAATGACAAATGCCATTTGAAACCAGTGTGAAATGAGGAGAAATGATTTTTAAAACCCTCATAAATATGAAGAAGGATTATGGAAGGCTAAAAATGTAATCAGGGTCTCCACACTTTATCCTCCTCTTCATACTGTATCAAGGAAATCATGATCTGACATTAATGAGGCCCTTTGTATCTCAGGGAACGCTTTCCTCCACCCTACCTTATCTGATCCTTACAGATCAATCCTATAAGCTCTTGTATCCCCATTTTGCAGAGGGAGACCCTGAGGTTGCAGGAGTTAAGCCATCTACCCAGAGATTCCCTGAATGGTGAGGCCCTGTCTAGCGCTCAGCCCTAGTTCAGTCTAGGAGCAGAGTTTGTCACCTTTAGCAAAAGTGACTCTGTAAAACCAGCCAAGAATTGTAAAACATATTTCTAGATCCTTTTGATCTTGTATCTTCCCTATGCAGCAAAATTTAACCCAAGCCAATTCGTCGTTTTCTGGGGTTTAGAGTCATTCCTCATCCATCCAAGCCAGTGTGCACAATGAGTAGCAGGCAGTAGGAACACCCGTGGGTCTTGCACCTAACAGTTGAGGCTGCCAGGCATGAACAAGGGCTCCACAACCTTTAGACACCTTGAAAACCTGCCTCCACAGTAGCCTGAATTTTTCTTTTCTTTTCCGGAAGTCTAGCTCGTGGCCTGAAGAGACTCTGTGTCAGGGACTCTCTGAGCTAGAGGGAGATTCCCAAGCTCACAGATTTTTTCTCCTCAGAACAGGTTTATCAATAGGTCACACGCATTAGGCTGGGGGTGTAGCTCAGAGGTAGGGAAATGGCTTCGAATGTCTCCAGGTGAGCGGATCCAGGGAGGAGGGCTCTTGAGGAGGTGCAGGTTCCAGGAAGCCCTACTCCTCCTAGTGGCTCTGCATAGGTTACTTTCTCTAAAACGTTGCACTTCTGCTCCTTCTTTTTCAGCTTTTCCCCACAGACAGCTATGAAGTGAGTATAATCCTTCCTACTTCCCACTACCCTTTCCAGGAATGTGGCAAAGATAAAATACATTTAAAAAAACAAAAACAAAAGACAGCGTCCTGCTATGTTGCCCGGGCTGGTCTTGAACTTGTGTATTCCAGGGATCCTCCTCCCCCAGCCTCTTGAGTAGCTGGTACTACAGGAGCATGGCCGAGTTTAACTAAGAATTTTTGTCTTTTTTAAGGTGCTAGGTATTGAACCCAGGGCTTCAACCTAAGCTATATCCTCAGACCTTTTTTAATTTTTTATTTTGAGACAGAGTCTTGCTAAGCTGCCTGGGTAGGATTTGAACCTCTGACTCTCCTGCTTCAGCCTCTCTTAGTGCTGGGATTACAAGTGTGTACCTTGCTTAAGGTACATTTTTTTTTTAAGTGACAGGCACTTAAGTGGCAAAAGAAATGTTAAGGTTTTAATATTTCCTTTTTATGACTGGCCTTAACGCCTATGATGATGATGATTTTAATTTGCAGGCATACCCCATTTTCCTGGTCAATTTAGCTTTCCAGACCCTTGCCTTCTGTTTTTGGCTTCCTTCTTTCCCTTCTGCCATGAGGCAGTGTCCTGGAACAAGTACGAAGAACACGATGACTGCTTTCCCACAGGTTTGACTCTGAAGCTCAATTTTACCTCTCAGCTGTGTGATGCTGGACAAATTGTTTAACCACTCTGAGCTTCAGTTTCCTTATTTGTAAAACAGTAGTGTACTGGGGGCTGGGGATTTGGTTCAGTGGTGCTGTGCCTGCCTTGAAAGGGCAAGGTCCTTAGTTCAATCCCTGGTACTGAAAAAAAAAAAAAACATAACAGTATACCTATCTGTATTTCTATGAGAAGCAAATTCTCAGCATGTTTCTTGGCAAGTATGAGGTACTCAGGAAATGGCATTTCCTTTTGTACCTGGGGAAAACTTACCCCATGACTAAGAAAAAAAATTTGTCTTTCCAAATTTAAATATTAGCTCCAGAATACTCAGCCAAGATAGTAGACAGTCTCATCCAAAGAAGCAAGGCTGAGACTTTTGTAAATAAATAAGGCCCAGTGTAGCTGGGTGGGGGTGCACACCTATAATCCCAGCACTTTGGCAGGCTGAGACAGGAGGATTGTGAGGTTGAGCCTAGCCTGAGCAATTTACAAGTTAGCAAGACCTTGTCTCAATATAAAAATAAAAAGGGCTGGAGATGGTACTCAATGTGGAGGCCCTCGGTTCGATCTCCAGTACAAAAAAAAAAGATGATCTTATAATGTGTACTAAGATGGTCCACAAGAGGTCTAAATGGACCAAGTAGTAAATAAACATGAAGAGCTTCACACAGTGCCCAGCATGCGGGGGCTGCTGTGTAACTGCTGGTGTCTCTCGATAACAGCGCTTTCTGACATGGGTGTGATCATGATAGGTGACTGACCTTAGTGGTGGGGAGGAAGGCTGTTGGAACTGAACTCTCAGGTGCCAACTTCCAGGGCAAACTGGCAACCCCACTCAGTGACTGGACTTTCTCCTGTCTCCCTCATTCGTCCTGATTGTACAGGAAACAGCACAATGATTGCTGTATGGAATCAAGTCACCCATCTGGGCCTGAGCTTTCTATTGAGACTAGTGATATTTTTCCCAGTAGAAAAATTTCCAGAACTAATTTAATCCTAATTTAATCCAGAACATGCAGCTTGACTCAGAAATCCTTGATCCCCACAGCCTCTTTTTCCCCCATATGGAGACCACACTCAGGCCAAGCTTTTCTAAAAAATCTTTTTTTTTTCAACTTTCATATTAAATCCCCCTGGATCTAATATGTGCTCATTCAAGTCATGTTATTCCAGGGCACACTAATCCAAGGATTAGGCCCAGCAGCCAAGCTGGACCTCCACAAGGATGAGGGAGGCCATTCAGAAGTCTATTAGAGGGGAGGCTGGCTTGGCAGTTTTCACGCCACACTGTAGGGGTCCCATAACTGAATTTTAAAAATGTACTGAGTTCACAGAAAAGAGAATTAAGTATAGCAGGGGTTCACTCTGAACATTAATCTCAGAAGCCAAGTCCCTCATTTCCAGCAAGGCCTTCAATACAAGGAGTCCCCTGACCTTCGTTCCTCTTGCACAAATAACTCTGCCAAAGCCTGCCCCGCTGAGCGGGAGGCAGCACGAATGTAAATTGTAGACCCTTAAAGGCCCACTCAGGACCAAGACATAGTTTTGTTATGGCAACAAATGCTATTCATTCCTCAGTATCCCTTTAAGACTCCTTCTACTACCAGATCCCCAGACTTTTTATTTTATAATGGAAAACTGCCTCGCCTAAGAAGCTCAATCATTCAGCAGTGACTTATCACAGAAGATTGCCAATTTAAAATTGCTAATATTTATTAAGCACTTACTGGAGTATTTGCCAGACAAGGGCCGCACGCTTTGCATGCCTTAGCTGGGTAATCCTCACAACCTGCCTTGCCACAGAGACCGCCATTTGTGCATTTTAGAGATGAAGAGATGGAAGCACAGGGGTCCTGAGTGACCCTGCTGAGGTTCCAAACTAGAAAGTGGCTGTGCTTGGATTTAATCCAGGTGTCTGGCTCCGGAGCCCATGGTCCTAACCATGGCATCCCACGGCCTTGCAAAATTTGTCTACAATTGCATTATATGGTCCTGAATGTTTCTTCTACTGGTGATCTCCTTGGTGTCCAGGCTGGTGGTGCACGCCTGCAATCTCAGCACTTGGAAGGCTGAGGCAGGAAGATTGCTGCAAGTTTGAGGCCTGCCTGAGCTATACAGTGAGTTCAAGGCCAACCTGAACTGCATAGTGAGACCCTGCCCCCAAAAAAAATTTTGAAAAAAGAAAAACCCAAAACAAGAAATTCCAATTTAGGGAATTTTTTTTTCCAAAACATTTATTGGTACTATATATATATATATATATATATTTTTTTTTTCATCATAGGGAATTTGTACCTGTACATGATATATCTTGCTTCTTTTTTTTCTCATACACCTTCCTCCAATTTAGGGAATTTTCATTTATTTATTTATTTTTCCAGTGCCGGAGATTGAACTCAGGACCTTGAGCTTGCCAGACAGGCACAGCACTACTGAGCTACATCCCCAGTCCCATAATTTAGGGAATTTTAGAGGGTTGGTCCAGGAGAGATAATGTCAGAGCTGAGAGGCTTGGAGATTGCCTAGGAGTTAGCCAGGTAAAGAGGAAGAGTGTGTTACAGGCAAGAAAAACTCACCAAGAAACAAGAGAGGATAGATTTTGGGGTGTGAAGGCAGAGTGCTCTGTGGCTGAAGATTGGAGAGCAGCAGTGTGAGGTGAAATTGAGAGGCAGATGGGGCCTACTAGTAAATGAGAAGGGTATGTCATAGCAGGAATTCACGAGGGTTTTCACCAGAGAGTGCGGAGATCAAATT